TGTGTTTTCTTTATTTCTAGGTATTCGACCTCTTGCATATTTAGCAATATGAGGGTCAAAACAAAAGACTTTTGATTTCTTGACAGCTAGTGTTTGGTCCCCATATTGACCTGCACTTCAACATGCTGCAAGAGATTTATAACCCTAAGTTTCATCCTATGTTATTTGTAGGCGATGCAGTTACATGTAGTTGCTTAGATAATAGTAATTGTATTCTGCCTTTAACATTTTCTGTTGCACTTATTTTGTGTTTACCAGAGGGTATAATTTAGATGTAATTTTTGTTTTTTAGACACATCTTAGCCATTCTCCACTTTAATTCCAACTTATACAGAGAAGTTAAGTACAAAGCTGATGGGACTGAGCAGTTGAGGGTGTCATATCCAAAGTTCAAAAACGGGGAGGCCACAGTGAGGAATGTGTGCATCACCCAAAACTTTGGTAAGAAATGGTGTTTAATAGTTATAATATTTCCCAACAAAACTTTAATAAATGTTATGCGATAACAAATAAACTCACCTTCAAGTGTTATTTTACAGATTATGTAGAGGAATTGTATGACACCTTCCTGACAAGCAGCAAAGAAGAAATTAGAAGTGCCAGAGATGAACTACAAGAAATGACTCCATCCCCTATGAACTCGGTACTTCAAAAGCAGCCTGTTGCTGAAGCCATTCAAAAAAGACTGGAAAGAAGAAGTATGGAAGTTGCTGATACGCCTGCCACTACACCAGGTATGGGTGGCCTAGTATTTTTTTATTCTTATAATGCCTATATGCATTATTCTGAAAACCTTGTATCTATTTCATAGCATTGCAGAACCAAGCACAGGTCCAACATGAAGTTCCTGCAAATAGAGCACCCCCGAAGTGCAGACAATGTCAGCAACCCATGAAGGGGCATAACAAAGTTAAAGATTGTCCAAGAAATAACAAAACATAAATATTTTTATTAGCATGATATGTACAGTAATCAATTTTTGTTCCAGTTCTTAATTAACAAAATAGCATTAATTTTCTCATTTAATGCACCATACCATCAAACAAACTATTTAATAGGAAAACCAAATGCCAAAACTTWGGACCATTGTGAAATTATTGCCTATTTCAGTAACATAGAMGCTGGAACCAGAATGGAAAATGACATAGTAAACCTCTGAATAGTTTGAGATACACCAGAGACTTTTTGCTGTGCTACTCGTGTACCATTTCAGTCTAAGGTTCTATGTTCTGAGTTTTGAAACTGACATTTTTTACAACCGATAGTGGGTCCAGTTCGTCAAACTTGTATATAATATTATGTATTTGATAAAGCTTCATAAAGCTGTAAAAAGTATACTTTATTTTACTGATTTATAGTAAAAACATTCATCAGTTAAAAAAAGAAATAAATAAGAGTAATTGCATAAACATTGAGTCTATGATTCTTCATCCAAATCAAATCCGGTGTAAGTTACTTCACTTGTACCAAGAGGAAATGCATCTCGTATGGCGAGGTACGCACATGCTGGTAAAGGAATTCTCCTTGATCCAAGCCAGCCATGAATGAGGCGCGAAAATTCTCTATAAGCGATACTTCTCAAAAACCTATGAAGGGAACGGGAAATAAATTAGGGAATAGATTCCAAGACAACATAAACACTTCTCCACTTTATATAGGTGTTGACTAGTAGTGGAGAGAAGTGTATGTACGTGAAAATGCCATGGGAGGGTCATGGAAGGGCGAAAGAACTCTCGCTTTCAAAAAACAAACAAACAAATAGATAGCTCTTTAGACCTACATCTGATAATAATGTTGTCAACAACAACAACGGCTATTCCGAAATGAATGTAAAGCAACCTTTTACGTCAAACGTGAGTAAGTCTTAACTACTGTAAGGGACACGCACTGAACAATATTACACATTCTTACCTTTCTTCAGATCCTGTTTGACGATATTTCTGCTTATTTTTCGTCTTGAATCTGTCGGC